AGGGGACAGAAAATTCGCCTTATGCGCATTGTGAGATAGGGAAAAAACGAATGGCTGTAGCTCAGCCCTGAAGGGCATCAACGTGAGTGGTGCAAACTATGGGTTAAAAAAACAATGCATATGAGGCTACATTAGTCAAGTTCATGCAGGGCTTGGCTTTGAGTTGGTCAGTGTAGGAGCCGAAAAGCTGCCTCGCATTTATTGAAATGAGACAGCCGAATTCGCTTAAGGACAGATTTGTAATAGGCCATTCAGCTGAATTCAAAATTCTAACTGGGCGTATGGGAGCTGGAACGTCGTGTGAGGAGAGCAGTTTTCACACTTGTTTGACCAACAGTAGTGTCGCAGTGTGCGACCTCATATTCTCTTCTGGATTTATTCATGGCTTCAGCTATCCGAACTAATTGCCCATTTCAGCGTCGATCCATCAGTCTTTCAATGCATACACCCACCCATTCATATCACACAGTTGCATTTTTCTCGCCAACAAACTGTCCATTAACCTCGCTCTATTTCCATGAAAATACCTGCCATGACAGTAATCTCTGCATCGTCACACTTCACTTCCACATTTCAAATACCGATTGGTACAATTGTCAGATGGACTCGAATGAAATAGTTTCAAATCCATTAATAGTGACGAGTGTGGGCCAAGCTCAAGTGATCAATTAAATTCGTCGTCATAAATGCACAGGCTTTGAAATTTCCAGAAAAGTCACGAACTTCTGATTGGAGTGCAGCAAATCTACGGCATGTCATAATTGTCAACTTGTAAGTAAGGTGTTAGATTAGAGACTATCCATTTGACCTTTAGGACCTTTACTGCATGGATCTCTTTAGTGCAAAGCATGGAAACAGGCGCCAGTTGCCACCTGGCATAGGTTACGACTAATCCGAAGGCAGAGAGTTGTCAGCTTTGTCACAACTTGACAACAGGTATAACCGGGATGCTTCTCTCCACACGAAGACCTTAGCTACACATTCGATTGTATGCTCGCAACACTAATTCACTCCCCGCCACTTGGGTCAAGAATAAATAGGTTTCCACGCTTTCATCCAACAATAAAAGCCACATCAACACAGTCAAATCCAC